GTGTTGGGAGTCGATGCTCCCGAAGACGCCGTCTGCAGCAGCCTGCCGGTCCCGTGAAACTTGGTGGTGTCACGCTGGAGACAGGTCCAGAGTGGGGAGAGCGCTGTAGCGAGAGGGGGGACTCACCTCCAGTTGCTCAGTTCAGACGCGCTGTTTCCTTTCTCGCCTCCCCTTCTGCTTCGGCCCTCTGGGAAACACCATGGTGGCCACACAGAAAGCCGCTACTTGCCGCCCCTTGAGGGGGCTGGTGAGAGGAGGTCTTCCTCTGTCCTGTCATGAGCCAGAGCCTGGCAGGCCGTCTGTGTGTTGCAGGAGCACCCTTGACTGAGCGCTGGCTCGGGGTGGGAGCTGGGTGTCCTCACCCCGCCACGTGCCTCGCCCAACCTTGGTTGTTCCCGCGGAGCTCTGCAGCAGGGCTCCCCCTGCCCTGGAGACCGGCCCCTTCCCCCGGCTGTGCTCCTTTTGAAAAGAAAACTAGGCGTTTTCACTGAGCAGACCCAGACTTTGGAAGAGGGTGGGGAAGTATGGTGCGTGCCAGGAGGACGTGGCAGAGGAGCTACTAGGGGAGAGGAGAGCAGGTCTTGAGCCCAGCGAGCAGGAAGGCTTGCAGGAGTCTTACTTCCCCAGTGGGCCGGGCTCTCGGACTGTCAGTGCAGGGCGGTCTAGGCCCTTCGGAGGGTCGAGGGCCGCCCCCCGCCCCGCCATCTCTCAGGCTCCTCCCCGTGCCCACCAGCACTGGCTGGTCTGCCAGCAGGGAGGACGGTGTGGCTCTTCTACAGAGACCTTCCCCAGCCTGGGGCCTGTGTTCCTGAGCCCACCCCAGGGGCTGAGCCCAGAAACTAGTGCCCTATACCGCTCCCCACTCCCTGTCATCGCCCCTGGAGGTGATATCTGTGGACCGAAGCAGGAGGTGCGGGGATGTGTCTGCAGCTGGAGGAGCAGAGACTTCTCATTCCCGCGGAGCTCTGCAGCAGGGCTCCCCCTGCCCTGGAGACCGGCCTGCTGGCCTGCCCGGCTTGCAGCTACCCCGCACGCGCCCTGGGGAGTTCCTGGCTGCACAAGCCCACCCTGGGGAAGACCTGGCTTGCCCACTTTTGCTCCACATGCACGGGGTCTGCAGAGGGCTCGAGGGCCTGAAGTCCTTCCTCCTGTCCACTGCTAGAACTGGGCACCAAGTCACATGAGCAGAAGGTGCCTCCTCCTGGCTTTCCGTAGCTGGAGCGAGTGGCGTGCAGATTTGTGTGTCTCTGGTGCCCACTGTTTGTAAGGCTGCTGGAGTCGTGAGCTGATGATGGAATCCGCCGTGAGTTGAACTTGCCCAGGAGAAATCCCACCTCAGGCCAGTGAGGAGCCCCGCGGGGCACAGAGATGTCCGTGAGCAGAACAGCCCTCTGCCCCCCGCACCCCTCGAGCAGCACCACCTGCTGGGGTCCACACATCCGGAGCACCGGGCTAGAGGCGGCTTCCGGTGGCCACGCGCACCGTGCGGTGTTCGCGGGCGAGCTTCCGGCACGCTCGAGCGAAAGCTGAAAGCATGCAGGAGCCTTCAGCGAGCCACTCGCGCCGGAACCCGCGGGAGCTCTTGCCCACGTTTGCTGTTCAGACCAGGCTCTAAAGCCAGAGGGTCTGCAGCTCTCCACTCTTCCTTGCAAGTGGGGCGTGTAACTTTTAACATTTCCTTTGAAATTTCTTTTCTCCGTCTTATATTTTATAGCCAGAGCCTGAACCTTCTCGTCGATTTTTTGTCGACCAGTGGGAGCTTTCTCTTAGCCTCCGCTCCTCCAACCGCCCCGCCTCTCCCTCCTCTGACTCCCTGCGACAGGTAGCACCCTCCGCCTGGGGCGTGGCAAGCTGTGCTTCCGCTCAGCCTCGGCTCACTCCACCTCCACCTGCCATCTGCCCCAGAGAGTTTGCAGAACTCTCGCCTTTGGCCTGTGCTGTGTGGGACTCCGGTTGTGTGCACAAGTGTGCGGTGTTCTCTGCTGTGTCTTTCTGGCATGTGAGGTCCATACCTGAGTAAACGAAGTGGGGGGGCTTGCATGGAGCCACATTCGGGCAGGGTCAGCCCTTTGTATTTCACCTCCCGAATCACGATAAACATTTTGAGCCGCTAGCATTAACTCCGGACGTCTCCATGTCAATGTGTTCAAGGCCAGAGCCATGGTGGGACTGGCCCTTTCAGCGGGTGGAGCTGCGGGGTCCTGGGCGCTCCCGACTTGTCCGTTAGGGAGCAGCCTGGCCGGCCCCCGCCCTGCTGCGCCAGCTGCAGCGCCCTTTACAGGTTGTGGCGGGGCCTCTGCCCTGTGCCCTTCGGTTTGCTGCCTCCTGACTAGTCTCGGGCCCGGTCCGTGTGGAGGCCTGTGTGTGTGCAGCGGGGCCAGGCCTGCAGCTGCCACGCTGCCACTGTTTCTCAGGGTGGGCAAAGAGCCACCTGCTGTCCGTGCCGGGCACACAGACAGCGCGAGTCTCCCACTCTCCTGGGGGGAACTGCGCTTGTCGGTCTGTCACGCTGCTGGGAATGAGTGTGGCGAAGCCTGTGCACGCGGGCAGCCCGGCTCTGAGGGCTGAGGGTGCCGGTGTCTAGCCGGGAGACACGGGCCTGGCTGAGCCGTGCGGCCCCGGGCTCACTCTGAGTCTGGTTCACGCTCGCACTTGTCTGCTGCGCCGTGAAAGGAGGCTCTGCGCCCTCGGGGTCTGCTCAGTCTGCCTGTTGGAGGCTCCCCGTCACCCCCCGTCTAGGGAAGGTTTGCATCTGAGAGACACTGGTCCTCTCGACCACTAATGGGGATAAGCTGAGGAGTTGCTAGCAAATGGCACCATTTTATTTTATTATATATATATATACACACATATATATATTATAATAGTTTATTTCTACGTCACTTTGTACTTTTTTTTTCCATCTCAGTTGTAATCCCCGTGGGCTTCCCATCACCAAGTCACCCTTGTGCCATCACCACAGTCCAGTGCACTTCTCCCCCCGCCCCCGTTTTTGATCCACTCCCCACCCCACCCCCACAAAATGTCTCTGGTATGTGGCTGCTCATTATTCTTACTATGTTCTCGCCTGGCCCGAAGGGCACCCCTTTAAACTGAGAAAGGCCCACTCCTCAGTTCCCGTCGAACCTCCAGCTGGAGGTTCCGCCGTCGCTCCTGTGTTCACATAGCTAGTCCCTCACCAGGGCGCCTGCCGGCTTGACCCTGTGCCGCGCAGGGCACGCCATGCCCCGGCCAGGGAGGCTCCGGCCGCGCTGTGCCCATTTGTGCCATCAGTCCTCTTCCCAGCAGGCTGGTGCGTCGTCAGCACGTGCTCCTGGTGTGCTTCCAGCTCAGAATTAGAGTCTCGGCTCCTCAGACTTGACAGGGAGCCCCCAGCTCTTAGGGCACGTGAGAGCAGTGCCTCGAGCCCCCCAGTGCCGTGGCCGCTGCACGTGGAAGGGAGATCAGCACGTGGCGCCCGCCAGGCGACAGGCCTCCCGCGGAGGTGCTTTCCTCCTGTTACTTGTCCAGCGTTGCTGGAAAGAAGGTTGAGTTGGCTAGATTTTTTTTTCTTTTATCTTTTCCACCTATAAAACATAATCCCATAATCCCACCTGGGCTAGAAACACTTTCTGACTTCCCAAGGCGAACTGAGCGGCCTGTCTGCATCGCTGCAGCTGTTTCAAACGCCCACGCAGTCCAGAAGGCCGTGGCCTCAGAGCCCGCCCGGAGCGCAGACGCAGTGACCAGGGCACCTGGGTGCAGGTAAACCCTGGAAGCCGAGGAGGCCCGCGGCAGGCCAAGTGCAGACAGAAGGACGTCGCCACACGTAGCACCAGCTGTCGGCCTCTGTTGCCCGAGTGGAGCGGCCGAGCTCGTGGGACTGAGCCTGGCGCTTCTCCACGGGAGGAAATAACCCCCCACGCCCCCGCGCCGACCCTTGAGACGCCGCCAGTGCGGGCACCAGTGGGGCACGGGGCTGCTTCTCCTAGCTCCCTGTATATAATTTGAGGCCCTAGGATGCAGGCACTGCTTTTTCTTGGGGACCCTGCCCCCATCCTCCTGCAACTGTATATTCCCAGAAGATGCGGGCGACTGAGCTGCCCTCCCCGGGTGCCTGTCCCTGAGCTGTGACCCATCCGCGCTGACGCCTGTGTGGACACTGACCTGTCTTCTCTGACACCCAGTCTCCCTGCTTGTGGGCACCGTGTTGGCATGGTTTGCTCTGCACCTCGTGTTCATTTTATACGCTTCAAATATTTTTTTTTCCCTGTCTTCTCATGTACTTATTTATTTTTTTCCCTCCTCATCTCCCTTCATTCTGGTCATTTTCTAACCTCCGGCCACTAGAAGTATATAAAGATGTACACGGGCGGAGTGAGCTCATTGGCTGAGCAGATAGCCAATCAGCTTCAAAGGAAAGAACAGCCCAAAACCCTTCTAGACAAGAAGGAACTGGTAAGAGATGTATTCGGGGCACTGTCTGTCTCGATATAACCCAGCTGTGGTAAACAGGCCTGGTGTGCGCCAAGTAGCGAATGAGCATATACAGCCAGTATCAGCCGCGCGGTAATATTTCTGCGGTTGTCTCAATTTTGATAACTGGGCTTTTGAAGGATTCTGAAAGGTGTCAGGTGTTGGTGGAAAACATACAGTATCTCTAAAAATTACCCCTGTGAAGCTCATGTAGGACTAATATGTGTGGTTTTATTTCATGGGTTTTTCTGGGGGGGGGTATGTTTCTTTTTCTTAGCCATAATACATATTTTCATGCCACGCTCAAAACAGAATTCCGCCAAAAGCATTTGGTTGGATTGTTTCCCGACTCTAAATGGACTTGGACTCCTGTGGGGTGCTCAGGACCCCCCGTGCCAGGGGCTGGCCGGGAGCCCCTACGCAGCGCACCCCCGGCGCGTCTCAGGACGCCCTTGCTTAGTCGGGCAGCTTCACTTGAGGAGGGTCCCCCTCGCCCCCTCGGAGGGGAGCCTGAGGCCGGCCTGACTCCCCCCCCCCCCCCCCAGGGCTCCATGAAGAAGGAGTTCCCGCAGAACCTGGGCGGCAGCGACACGTGCTATTTCTGCCAGAAGCGGGTCTACGTGATGGAGAGACTGAGCGCCGAGGGCAAGTTCTTCCACCGAAGCTGCTTCAAGTGCGAGTACTGTGCCACCACCCTGCGCCTCTCGGCCTACGCCTACGACATCGAGGACGGTGAGTGCGCCAGGCCCAGGCCTCGGACAGCTCCCGGGGAGTCTCCTAGCTGGGGCCTTGAGCCTCGCCCTGCACGCCGGACACACTTTTTCTCGCCTGTCCCTCTGCTCTCGGCTTTGGGGCTGTAAGATTCTGCCCGGAACTGTTGGCCAGGGTGGCCTGGCGGGCCAGAGCGCTCCCTGGCGGTGATGCTGGCGGAGGCGGTGGGGTGGCCTGTGTGCACGTCAGCCGCTGCCCCGCCTCAGAGAGGCTTTCTTACCTCTTGGCGGGAGCTAAAGATCGGGGATACCAGGGAGTTCAGTCTTTGCCTTGACTTTACAGAAGGGGAATCCCACACCCCTAAAATCGTTTTTCTTGCCTATGGTTAGCGCCTGCAAATCAAAACGAAATCTCAGGCCCCTGGGTCTTGGGCTCTTCCCGAAGGCGGCTGAGAAGTGCCCACTGCTTTCAGCCCTCTCCAGCATCAGCATCTCTTGAATGATTTCAGAGGGCCAGAATCCACCTTACCGTGGTGTCCCGCCCTGGCCGCCTGTGACAACTACTGTTTTTTGGCTGGAAAAACCTTGATAGGCAGAAGGTCGGGAATGGGGGAAACAGATGGCAAAGCCTGACAGAGGCGGGCAGTCACGCCAGCCCACACCAGGAGACTCTCGAAGGTGGACTAAGAGGCGCCAGGCGAGTCCCACAGCCATTCCTGCAGATGCTGACGGAGCAGGCAGCCCTCCTGCGGCGGCACTGCGGCCCTCATGACACTGACAGGCGCTGCCGCACTGTGAGGCGAGGGCGCCCTGTGATGCCAGTGGTGCTGGCCACTGCGGTCAGCCAGGCCCTCCTGACAGAACCAGCCGGCAGCTCTGTCAGAAGTCACAGGAAAGGAGCCAAGGTGGTAAACCGAGAAAGGTCAGCTCCTACCACTCTGGCACCTGGCCCTCTTGGCAGGTATCAGATTTTCTGTTTCAATGTCCCTACACACACACTCCCAGGATAAGGCCTTTGATCCCCAAGGACGGGTTGGCAGACAGCTCACCTCTGTGTCTTACCTGCCCTTAATGCTTAGGTTATTTCAGGTAGCTGTCACCATGAGGGCTGCTTGAAAAGAAGGGCCCTCACGGGCCAACCACTTGGCACAAGTATGTTTGCCCGTAGATTGTATACTCATCGTTGCCACATTCTTTTGAGGATATAGGTGGGGTGTAAAATGTGCCTTGTTCAAGTTGGGATAGGACACGCACAGGCGCAGCAACAGCCGACATCGGGGTGGGGTGAAGGGCTCAGGGTGGGTCGTGCTCTGTAGAGTGCAGGGGAGGAAGGACTCCGCAGGCCTCAGGAGCTGTTAGGCCTGACACTGACCTCCAGCTAGTCTGAGAGAGAGCTCGAGGGCGGAGGCATGACGTCGGGACAGAACAGGACAGAGTGGAAGTGTTACTCTTGACACTGGAGAAGAAGGACCATGGAGCTAAACCAGCTCCCCAGAGTTTAACCCAGATGAACTTTTCATCTACTCAACGCCTTCGCAGAGCTCCCGCATCTGTTAGAACAGGCAGACTAAAGAAAAGAATGGAATTTTCTGGGTACGGAAGTTTTAGCCAGTTCTTCAACCATGTGACTAGGTGATTCAGAATTCTAATTGAAGCAATTCATGTAACTGAGGAAAAGCCAGGGAAGGTGTGGCTTGGAGGAAGGAATTACCCCGGGGTGTGCTGAGGCCGTTACTCACACAGAGCGCTCCATCTTCACCACAGCCCCGTGAGTAGCTGCTTTATAACTAATTTAAACCAGATTTAGGTACCCCCTGGACTTTGCTTGTCCAAGATCGCACAGCTAGGAAGTACAGGTTTCCATGAAATGACCTGAGATCCCGTCCAGGTGGGACATTCTGGGATCAGTGAATCTGGCGCCCTGCCATCTCTCCAGGTACTCTGAGAACGACACACTTCAGAAATACATCATGTTTCCCCTTGTCCTGTTCATTCTGCCCCTCACCTCATTTCAGAGGATGCAGTCTACCCTAAGCCTCTTTCTTGCCGAACTCTGTCTCATCTTTGACTGCTCCCAGCGCTATGTCAAGTCCTTCCCTGGACTGCCAAGAAGAGAGCACACGTGTGACCTGCTGGAGTGGCTGGGGAGGGCCCCAGGAGGGCCGAGCCCGAGGCAGCCGCTTCTCTCCTCGGTGCCACTGTGGCCTAGATCAGCCTCTGCTCTTCCGCCTGGGCTCCTGCTTCCCTGCCGCTTCCAGGGGGCAACCAGAGAGCTTCAGCAGACGTAAACCAGATCTCACCAGTGGCTTGCTTTACCCCCTTTTTACTCGCGGCAGGATGTGTAGAATCTGCAGTCTTTTTCCAGACAGAGTTTTGAGTGTCTTCCCCAGCCTCGGTGCTGGCCTCTTCGCTGTCCATTGCCCCCTGCTCTCTGCGCTCCCACCCTGTTCTCTGTTCCAGGCCCTCAGCATGATAGGCCACAGTCACACTGGCGAGGCCTTCACACTAGCTGTCTGCTCCTGGGAGGCACTGCCTGAGGCTTCCCAGCCCTTCGGGATGCCATTTGCATATCCCTTCCGAGGGGCCTTTGCTGACCTACTTGGGTGCACATGGCCATTTGAGCAGAGATGGTCTCCTGACCATGCTCTGTGTTCAGATCAGTATTCTGAGAGCTGCGTGCTGGCGCTCAGTAAGCTGCTGAATGAATGAATAAATGATCCAGTTTGCCTTTGGCTGCCTGTGCTGTCCAGTTCCCTTCTCCTGCCCCTCCCATAATTAATTATTAAGATTCCTTCATTTATTTATCAAAAATGTGTAATTTGACTGGATCACCCTTAATTTATAGTCATTTTATAAAGTTAGCATAGCTGTGTTATTACTTAACACAGGAATCCGGGGGCAGGGGCTAAAAGTAGCGAATCTGAAGCCAAACATCTTATGTTTAGATCCTTTCTGAGAGTTACTGAGTATGGGACCCTTTGGCCAGGCTGCTCAGCCTTTCTGTGCCTGCACTGGGTAAAGAGGGATAGGTAACAGCAGGCCCCACCTCATACAGTGGTTTTGACAGTTCAGTGACAGAATTCAATGATCTATCAACAGACGTAAAGCAGTGACCTTAGTATTTGGCACGCCGTAAATGCTAGGTAAACACTGCCCTTTTTTGTTACTGATGTACAATGTGAAAACAAAGATCAAGTTGAGATTGGGAAGGCATATGAGGAGAAACATTAATTGGATGCCTACAGCATTTGGAATGTGATATATCATTCACTTATCTCAGCCTTTCACATGCGTGTTATCTCTAAATTCCACATAAGAAACATGTTCCCAGAGGCAAAATAGTTCAAATGCCTATTGAGTGGTTGAGTCAGTATTTAAACCAGGATCTGACCTCACTGTTCATGTTCCTTCCATCGTGTTGTTTGCCTCCTTTGGAATTTTCTTGAAAAATCACCTCTTGGTTAGGCTTGTGCAATTGTTTCTGAAGCCTACGCCTGTTCCCTTATTACTTTCAGATACCATAGCAGCGTTCAAGGAGGAGTGCCTAGTAGGTTACCAGTTGAGTTGTATTTTTAAATCTAGGATTCTGTTTTAGTAGGAAAAAGCAAATCAATGCAGGGAAAAATTGGAAGAAAGCAAAGTAATTATAACTGATTATAGTTTTCTGATACTACAGCGTGGGTCATATATTCACTTCAGAGGTGAGTAAATATATGGCATGCTAACTCTATCAGAATCACATGGATGTAGGAGAAGTATTCCTTAAAGCATTAAATACAAAACACATCAAAAAAGTAATATATGATCCAAATGCTTATACATTTTGTCTTGACTAACATTTACAAAAGAAAGACTCTACCAACATTATGGAATAGGGAGGTTTTGATAAACAATATTATCCAAAGCAGTTTACACATTCAGTGCAATACCTGTCAGAATCCCAATGACAGTTTTTGAGAAAATGGGACAAACAACTGTAAGATTTGTATGCGGCCACAAATGATCCCAATAAGCCAAAAAGAAAAAGCAAAAAAAGGCAGTATTATAATCCCTGACTTCAAATTATATTACACAACAATAGTAATCAAAACAGTATGGTATTTGAACAAAAACAGAAGTATAGACTGATGAAATATTATAAATCAGAAAGCTCAGGAATAAAAGCACGTAATTATGGACAGTTGATTTTTAAATGGGGAGCCATAGCCGTACAATGGATAAAGAAAAGCTTCCCTACAAATAGGACTGGGAAACTTGGGCAGCCACCTGCAAAAGAAAAATGAAACTAGACTTCATTTCTGAAGTCCATATACAGAAATTAATCCAAAACAGATTAAAGACTTGAATATAAGATCTGAAACCATAGAATACATAGAAGAAAACAGGTGTACACTCCTTGACATCAACTGCTGAGATGTTGTTTGGATGTATAACTACAATGTCACAAGAAACAAAAGCAAAAATAAGTAAGAAAAACTACATCAAACTAAAAAACTTTTGTAGCACAAAAGAAACCACCCCAAAAACAAAAAAGCTGTGAACTGGGAGAAGATATTTGCATTTCATATGTCTGACAAGGAATTTATTTCCAAAATATATAAAGAATTCATATAACTCAATGACCAGAAAACAGACAACCCAAACAAACAAACAAAAAGAGCAGAAAACCTAAGTAGACATTTTTCTGAAGACATTGTTGAGGTGGCCTACAGGCCTATGAAGTAATTCTTCAGTATTATTTGTTACAAGGGAAATGGCAAATCAAGATCATGATGAAACCACCCACACTAGTGAGAAGGGCCTATATCAAAAAAAGACTACAAAGTCTATTGCCAGGGATGTGAAGAAAAAGAATCACTCACCCAACTGTTCCATGCTGCAGCCTCTATGGAAAGTGGTCTGGAGATTCTCTAAAAAAGAAAAAAAGGAAATACGGTGCTATTGAGCAACATATTTCTAAGTATTTACCCGATAAAAGCAATAATACAAAAGATGCTACACTCTTTATGTTCATAACAGCATTATTCACCACAGTTAAGCCATGGAACCAGCCTGCATACCCAGCAACAAATGACTAGTTGAAGACTAGTTAGGAAAAACTAGTTGAACACTAGTTAAAAGATGAAATAGTGCTTTGGGGACAATGGATGGATCTTGAGGTGATGGGTTAAGTGAAATAAATCGGAAAGTGAGAGACAGTTACTGGGTTCCCTCACTTGCAGAGTATAAACGACCCAGGAACACAGACAGGCAAACACAACAAAAATAATTCTTAGAATCTGTGGAAAGTGTGCCGGTGACCAGAGAGGACTGAGTGGAGGGAGCGTTGTGAGGTGACTGACGCGTGCACAGGAGCAGCTGCGTGGGAAGTTATCTGCCAGAATTACAGTTAGATAAGTGATTGGAAAGTTGGTAGCATTTGAATAAACCATGAAATAGAAATTTCACAAAAGTGAAACGTCTTTAACGCTCTTTCACCAGTATCTCCCCGTTTCTCCCACCCTAGACCCCTAAAACCACCATTCCCCACCATTCCCCACCATTCCCCAGTGGTTTTCTGAGTTTAGAGTCCACATGTAAGGGAGAGTTTGTGTGTTTCTCTGACTTACTCACCTTAGCACCTGCCTGCGAGATCATCCACATGGCGGCAGATGGCACCATTCCCTTCTTTCTCACGGCTGAATAAAACCCTCTTACATACAGATAACACATACACGTATGTCAGATGTTTTTATATGAAATACACATATTTTCTTTATCCATTTGCCTCTGATGAGGCAGTTAAGTTGTTTCTATTCATTGGCTTCTGTGGATAACACTGCAGTGAGCACAGGCGTGTAGGTGTCTGTGAGGTCCTATTTGAACGCCTTCACATGTGAGGCGGAGGTGGGGTTGGTAGATCGTAGATGGAGTCTAGCCTCAGTTTCTTGAGGTGCCTCCAAACTACTGCCCATATTGGCGGCCCCAGTTTGCATTTCCACTGCCATTTACTAGACGGCCACCAATTATTATCTCCTGACTTTTGAAGATGGCCTCTCACTGGTCAGAGGGGACAACTGACTGGCATTGAGTTGCATTTCCCTGATAATTAGTTATGTTGAGCACGTTTTCATGTGCCTGTTGGTTTTGGTCTTTCTTCTGTGAACTCTGTCTTCTAGCTCCTTCGCTTACTCTGAAATTGGGTTGCTTGCTCTGTTGATAGTGAGTTGTAGACAGCCCCCATCAACTCAGTGCTGTTTGAGTCAGCTATGTAAATGTTCACAGTCATCCTTTATGTTTCTGTGGTTTCAGTTGTATCTCCTTTTATTTCACTTATTTGAGTCTTTTTTTTTAAGATTTTAATTTATTTTTGCTTAGAACTGGAGTGCCAGATGTGCAGGCGTGGGTGAGGGGAGCAGCGGGCGGGTCAGGAGAGGTCTGCAGGGCCACATGGGTCCGCTCCCTGGTCCGGGATCGAACTCAGGCTCTGTTTTTCTGAATTAGTCCAGCTAAAGGTTTGCGAATTTTCTTTACTTTCCCAAAGTGGTCTGATCCCCCTTTTTTCTTTCCTGCTATTATATCTGTCATTGATTCTGCTCTTGTTTTTCTGATGAGGTCCTCTTGTCTTAACTTTGAGAACGAGAAAGCTCATGTGTCAAAGGAGTACTCCTTACAGACAGGAGCGATAAAATGGGATTCCTCCGCTTCAGCGGTTTCTACCAAGGGGCCTGTCATCAATTCTTAAAGGCCTCCGCTCTTCCAGTGGGAGCAAAGAAAAAGCTGGGCAGGATGACCCACTGGGAGTCCCACTTCCAGCGTCATGGGAAAAACCCTGCGGTGTGTTTTCCACTCATGTACACACCCCCGGCAGGAAATACATGTTCCATTAGGACCCCGGAACACACGGAGAGGCAGAATCTGGGAGGAGTAAGCCTTAGCTCTCCTGGCCCCACGCCGACGCTGATGCTGTACACACTCTGCGTCTTGTCCTGCTCCGTGGCTGGGCTCTCGGATTGGTTTTGTGTTGATTCTAATACTGACCCTGACCCTCTCTCTCAGAGGTCACAAGCTTTGATGGGCCAGCACTGGCTGTGGTTGGGAGGGCCTGAGAGGGGGTCCTGTCGGGGTTAACGCTCTGTAGCCTTCCCGCCTCCTCCCCACACTGCAGTGATTCTCGGTTTCCCCAGAAATGCTACTCCCAGCTTTTCATGTGACCACGTCTTTGTTCTGTACACACTGCCACTTTGTTTGCTGGCCCTGCCATGCAGGCCTCACATCTTTGCTCTGGACACTGATTGGGCGATGGCTCAATGGCCTTCACATACCCAGAGGAAACCCCCCTTCAGGCAAAGAGGAGAGGGGGTGGAATCACAGTTTGGAGGGAGGGACTGGACCTCTGGACCAGAAACCCAAACCTGGGGGAGGCTGGAGCAGTGGTGATGGCGCCCCGTGGTGAGAGGAGCCGGGCAGGAGTGCCCTAAGGCCAGGGAGTGAGGTTCAAGGTCAGAGTCTTAGCCTGCACCTCTTGCTGCCCGCAGGTAAATTCTACTGCAAACCGCACTACTGTCACCGACTGTCCGGCTCCACACAGAGGAAGAGGCCGGCCGTGGCTGCGCTGTCCGGAAAGGTAATGGTGATCCCTGTGGGAGGGGCGAAGCAGCAGGTCGGGCGTGGCCAGCAGGGCCCAGTGGCCTCGCCTGTGAGTGGCAGGGCTGGACCTGGCTGTCGCCCAGCTTGCGGACAAAACCAGCTTTTCGAGCATCATCGAGTCTGGGGATGTCCCAAGTACACCTAGGATTTAGGAGGTGACCGCAGGCCCTCCCCTCCCTTCGCTCAGTCTCTAGAGAAGACTTTTGCTTTCAGAAATAAACATCTTGCTGAGCAGGACCTGGACTGTAAATAGACTGTTCCTGTAACACTCTTTAGCCTGTGAATCACTTATCTTAGAACCTGGTTTGTGGCGGGGGCGGGGGGATCGTTGTTTTGTTTTTGTTTAATGAGAACAGCTGACTTTGTCAAGGCAAATCAGGACCTTCTGATGCAGGTGCCCTCACGCCTCCTCCATAGGCCTCTGCAGGCTGCAGACACATTCCAGGGCACGGTGGGCTAGGGGTGTGACCCTGGGTGTGACCCTGGGTGTGACCCTGGGTGTGACCCTGGCGACTCCCTGGTTTCTTCGGAAAAGAGATTACTTGAGTGAGCCCCGCTGAGCTGCCGGGCGAGCAGCAGGGGCCACCAGGTGCCTCGGCCTCCTAAGAGCTGAGTGCTTCAGTGAGAGCCACTCTTCCCTTCCTCACGGACTTTTCCAGGAGGCCAGAGGAGCCCTGCAGGACGGCCCCGCTGCGGACACAAATGGACGGGCCAGCGCCGTCGCCAGCGCCGCCGAGAGGACTCCAGGTAGCCTCACTTCCTTGTTTGGCTGGGTGGCGCGTCACTCTCTCGGCCTCTGTGACAAGGCCAAGGGCGTGAGCCAGCACCTCCAAAGCAACATTTCTTCGATTGGGCATCAAGTGGCCCAAAACCCTCTGGACTCCTTTTTCATGTGCCAGCTGCTTGCATTCGGAGTCCCCTTCCTCTATGGCCTGTCGGAGGTGCTGGTCCAGATCAGAGGGGAGTTTCACTGGCCGGCCGTGAGCCAGTAGGGCGCCCCAGAGTGCATGTGACCAGCGCCAGGCCCGCCTGTCAGAATCGCCAAGGTTCTTGCTGGCGCCCAGCGCCGGCCCACACCTCACAGACACGCTGGGTGGTCGGACAGGTCCTCCCGGGTAAGCGGGAGCTCAGACGAGGCCGCCGTCCTCGCTGGCTGCAGAGGACCCGAGTTGCAGGGCCTGCTTGTCACGCCTCAGCTCAGACTTGGACAGCGTGAGGTTGTGATGAGGCCCCGCGCCCACCTGTACTTGAAATTCTCATATACCATTTAGCTGCCACTCAGTGGTCCCATTAGACACCACCCAGGTGTCCAAATAGGCCGACACTGCTCTTGCCTTTGACTTGTAACCACTAAACAACATGCCCTCCTCTGTCTCCCGTTCACTAACCATCCTTTTATGTCAGGAGGTGAACGGCACAGGCCCTACCTCTAAAAACATGTTTATTCTGTTTATTCTGGTCTCAGCGGGGCAGGACTGAGACCGGCTGGTGGGCACTGGGCTTGTCATAAAGATCTGGGTTGCTTATTGCTTTAAATTCACCGCTCCCCTCCATGTCCAAACAGCCTCTGAGATGTGCCCACAGTTTCACAAAATTCTGGGGGTCCCAACGCCCCCAACAGAGCTCCCCATCATTCACAGCTCAGGGCCACTGTGCAACCGAGAAGTGGCATCCACACAGCCATGTTCTGTCTGTCACATGTTTCCTTTTGTTCGAAGCAAATAGATCTCAAGCAGCCATTTATAAACTCATAGGTGGTACCATCCAGAAGCTGAAGAGTACCACTAATGCCAGAAACTGAGGAAAAGAGGTTGTTAGTGGAACTTCCATAACAGAAAAAGCATTACCTGCTTGGCATTCCAGTGAGAAGTTCCCAGAGCTGCTTCTTCCCCTGGGCTTAAGAGCTAGTCAGAGCCCTGAGGTGCTCCTTCTGGGAGAGGAGCGTGCCAGAGTGGGGAGGAGTAGACCTGGGCGCGGGTTTGGAGGCCAAGGCCCAGCCGCGCCAGGTGAACCCCGCTCGGCTGCTGTGCATGCCCCCGTCTTGACATGTCCTGCAGGTTGGACCCACGTTTTATAGCAATAGCAGTGTTTAAACCACAAGTTCCCGTGAAAGCTTCCGCAGCCCTGAAGCCGCCTATAGTCCTGCTTCCTTGTGAAAGGCCAATATCCCTATGCTTTTGGCCTCTGAGCCCCCAGGGAGTGCACCCGCAGAGGAAAAAAGAGAAAAAAAAAAAACAGCGGGACCAGACAGAGCTCTCAGCCAGGTGAGAACACCACCTTAGGGAGTCTGGGCCCTGTTCCAGCTGAGGTGGATTTTTCAAGGAATCTGGCTATCTAGTAAGACAGCTCTTAGAACATTCTTTGCAAAGAATTAAACACAGTGACTTTGAGGTCATTGCTGAGCAAGCTGAGTTTGTTCACTTTCCCATCTGGCTTAGTTTGCCACCTCTAGCTTCTGAAACCCTGATTCCAGGTGTTTAGCAGTTCTTAAGAGTTAAGAGTTCTGTAGAGAAGCAGAGAGATAAGAGTTGGCAGGTGGCTCAAGAAGCAGAGCAAGGAAGTAAGGAACTGACTAAGAGGACCTCGTGGTTCTTGATTCAGAAGGTGACTTGCTCTTAGATCGAGGGGGCTTCGCAGCTTGAACCTCCAAGGTGAACGAGACAGGCCCAGGGTCCTCTCTGGAAGGCCAGAGAGCCCAGGTAGGCCTGACGCTTCTGGAAATTACCGCTGAGTCTGAACACACTCCGAAGCACCCCCTCTCCCCCGGGATGGTGTCTCATGGCGGCTAGCCTCTGTGAACAGGAACAGAATTAGGGACAGTATTTTATAGTTGCCGTGAAACAGATTCTCTGTCTGTGTTCATAAGGATTTCCTCTTCATATCGCCAGCTGGCCAGTTGTGACTGGTTAACGGGAATTTCCTTTTGAGAAACGGGGGGGACTTGGGTGTTTCAGGGGCCCCGGGTGTGTCTCAGACGGCAGTCACTGACGCAGACCCAGCGGCACCCCTTCCACTGCAGTCCAGGCCAAACCGCAGGCTGTGAGGAAAGGACTTGATTCCGGAGAAAAAAACCCCCCCGACACAACACACAAGAAGCAAGAACACACCACCCCCCCGCAGCAAGAACACAGCACCCCGCCCCCCCCACCCCAACACTGTCCCATCTCCCTCTTAGCGCTTATGCCAAACTTACTGCTATTGCTCAAAAACGCCACCCCGAGGCTGAAGCCCCTCCCCCAGGCCTGCCTTAGCGTGTCTTTCTCAGAGCCCTCACCTGTAACTGCTGCCTCATGTCGTGTCTGTGGGACTTTGTTTACGATATTTCTGTTCGTAATGTGCACTCTCCAGAGAAGCCCTGTTTTTCTGTTGTGACAACTGTAAATGCTTTGTTTCCAAACTTCTTAGACTTCTGCTGCAGATTAGTGGCCCTGGCAGATATCTGAGCCTTGCCCATAGTTCCTCCCCTGGCTTAAAGGAAAATGCAGAGGACAGGCAGAGGAAGAGAAACCCCAAGCGGAGTATTTCCCTTGGACACAGACCCTCAATGCTTCCAGTCCAAAGGAACCCCCTTTACACCCTTTAATGGGTAGCAGGAAGTGAATCCGGGAGGGAGTGGAAGCTCTTCTCCCAGGACAGGTGACAGAGGGAGGGGTGGGAGAAACTCCCTCATTGTCTGTCATTTGGTAGGAAAGATGATCTTAGCTTCAAAGGTGGTCTAGCAGTAATGGGGGGGGGGAGGCATCTGCTCCCCCGGTGCCCCCAGACTCCTCCAGTGTGGTCAGTTAGGCTCCAGAGTTGGCTCCTGTACGGGCCATTAAGAAATGCAGGCATTTCCCACAGCAGCTAGGAGAGCCCTCAGTACAAGGAGGCGCGTGGAGTCCTGGGGGTCCTGCCTGTCGGGAGGAAATTAGGGAGACCTCACTGCTTTGATAGCCCCTCCCCCCTTGCAGGCATTTCTGGAAAACCTATTAGTAGTAGAGCAAAGAGAATTTTAGCCCTCCTCCACGAGTCTAGCTCATGCTGATGTATACATATATATTTATAGAGGTTTAATTTCATAGGTATAAGGTATTTGTATATTTTGATCAACATAATGATAATAATATGAAGCTGCTTCTAAAGCTTCTTGTTCCTTGGCTCTGGAAGCCAAAGGAGCCTTCACATTGGGAACCAGGCCTCTGACCTGGTCAGGTTTGGGGGAGAACGGAGCAGCCCAACACCCCTAAGGAGAGGGCGACTTTTGGGGGTGCGTATCTCAGAAAAGTGAGCAATAAATACACCCAATCAGAAAGCTGACGCAGAGCACACTGGCAAAGCGGGTTCTGTGCTCGTAGAGCACGCGGAGAGCCTACACCCCCTTCCCTCTGCACCAGGCCGTGTGCTCTCAGCAAGCTGGGCTTCCCGCGTGACTCCAGCGGCCGGGGGCAGGTCGAGCTCCTCCCATAGGGGCCTTCTGTGGCCTAGAGCTTCTGACCAGCAAACTGAGGGGTTCGCTTTTCCTGGGCCACTCAGCTTGGGCAGAGGTGAGGGGCGGGGCGGGGCGGGCTGTGGGCAAAGTAGCGAGCCAGGGGCAGGGGCTGAGCCCAGGAGGCAGCCGCCACTCTGGCCTCCCCTCAGGTCTTTATTTTGCCCTTGTTTTTAACCTGTGCTGTTGTTTTTAGTGTGCTTCTTTGTGAGTTTTTTAATTTAATTGTGTAACTTTGTTTTTGCCGTTACTGTGAAACTAAGGTGTTGTGCTTTTTTTTTTTTTTTTAACAAATGTTACCATTCTTATTTAAGAGAATAAATTCCAAACAATCTTCAGGTTTCTGAGTTTTTCTTTCCCTTCCCTGTTTTCTGACTGGCGGGTGGGACACAGGGCCTCCAGAGAGGGCTGGCAGGCCTGGGCCAGGCTCTCCCTTCCACCGCAGCGACGTGCTAGGAGAAGGGTGTCTACCTAGCAGGTAGATTCCCGAGACCAGAAGGGCCCTGCTCCCAGGGCTTGACGCGGTTGGTAGCACCTGCAGAGGGAAGGCGGTGAGAGGGAAGTCACCTGTGCCCCACGCTGCCAGCCCCGCGAGGGACCTGCAGGCTAGATACAGGCGTAGACATTCCACACTGGCCGGGCCTGCCCGGGCTCTGCTCTTCACTGCTGCGGGGAACCACGAGCTTTGCCTCCTGCCTTTCGTCTCCTGCCCGAGGGGCGCCGCCCTGGCTCCCCAGACACTGGGGGCTCTCTCTGTCCTGCCCAGCCGCTGTCTCTCCTGTGCTGTCTTGTGTGACCCGGAGCAGCAGTTCCGCTTCGCCGCGCTCAGGCCTGCAGGGACAAGCCTGCCCCTTGCACACCCACCGCCGTGGCGCAGCCCAGCCTTGCTGCTGAACTGGGCCCATGTGGCACCTCAGTGGGGGGGCACCTCTGGGTCTGTTCGTAGAATACTGGCCTCTCTGAAGCCACCCTCCTGGGGTGCAGATTGGAGGTTGCCCCACAGAACACAGCCCCCGCGTCAGGCGCTGTCGGGGAAGCTGGTCCCCGCCCGCCCATGACCCCAGGACACGGTGCCTGTGTCGCTTTACCCTGCAGCACATTGCCAGTTCAGAATTGATCTGAACAGAGTTCGGGTGGCCTGTTCGTTCCTTCCATCCCCACCCCCGCCCCCCCTCACTGCCCGAGCCTGTGGCCTGTCTCTCCCCTTTCTCTGCAGTAAGCCAGCCAGTATCCTGGCCCCTCCATTAGTCTGGAATAAAAGAGTTGGGGTGTGGGGGTACAG